TTAAAAGTTTTACCACGAAGGGAGTTGTCCAGGGATCGAAATAAGTGGTAATCCGATGGCGCGAGATCAGGGCTATATGGCGGGTGTAACATCAATTCCCAAGCAATATCCATCAATTTTTGCCGAGTGGACAAAGACGGCGGCCTAGCATTGTCCTGCTGGAAAATGACACCTTTACGATCGACCAATTCTGGTCGCTTTTCCTTGACCGCTGCATTCAATTTGTCCAGTTGCTAATATTCACGGACAATAAAAAATAACATAATAATAATAATAATAATAATAATAATAATAATAATAATAATAATAATAATAATAATAATTTTATAATATAACATTTACGGATATCATAAAAATGGGAGTAAGAGACATCTATAACTGAAATCGGCAATTACTTAGTTGCCAACCCAATATATATAATTTAAAACAAATGTCAATATCTAAAATTTTGTATTGTTACCATCGTCAACTCAAACAGTGATCCTTGTCGCAATTAACATGTCAAACATGGTTGTACACTATTAAAAAAACTGCCGGTGAACAAAGCGTTAAGATATTTTGACGAGTGCCCGAAATGGTACTCATCAAATTAACTAACACTGTTTAAATTATATTGTACCGTGGTCAACCGGTATCAAGCATTAAGAACGAAATTTGATGAACAAATTGAATAAGAAATGTTTACATGAATTCGAAATAATTTCGCATACAACTTTCTTTACACGTACGTGACGCTTCTACTCGAAGATAAGTGAACTAGTAAATATTCTTATCGTAAGTTTAGTCCGCCATACTTTTAATTAAGTACTCGTTTTCGTAGTTCGACGTTCGTGTTTCGTTGAATTCGGTTCATAGTGATAATGTTGCGCTCGTTAGTTATGTCGTTGTTACGACACTTTCGGGAGTAAATGAACGAATACGACGGCGATTTGTTTAAAAATCTGACAGTACCTCGTACTCGAACATGACCAACAATTTAACGAATCGCGGTGCTTTTTTATTGCAGGACGGTCGTAAATTAGGCTTCGGAGGAATGCACGGCATTCCTATGGTGGCTAGTAGTCCCGTGAGACACGAGAGTTCCATAGGAATGACGCCACTCGAGGTGCAAGCTTATCAACCACCGTGGAAAGCACTTTCGGATTTCGCTCTCCACACTGATTTAGACAGGCTAGATCCCAACACACCATCTTTCCACCATTTGGTATCACAGGTAATTATACTTCGCAGTGGTTCACGCTACGTAGAACTACTGGACAGGTCTGAACAATGTTATTGCAAAGATTTTTCCAACGAGGAGAGTTCGAGGCCTCGGAGTCACCCATTTTGTTGAGACTTTGCGAACCTAACATAGTTAACCTAAGTTGAATCTCTAACATAGTGAACTTAACATAGGATAATATTAATCCTATTTCTTTACGATTCTTTAATCTTTAACTTTTATTTTATTCTTCTATCTCTTTTATGCTTTTCTATTTTTATTATTCCTTTTATTTGTCGTATGCGCTAAATAATATATTATTTCAATATAAACAATGTATCATATGATTCACTATAATATGTACTGTTAAGTTAATAATTAACTATTAATATTATATATTAACATTAATATTATTATATATTAATATTATATATTAACATTAATATTATTATATACTATTATTATATATTAATATTATATATTAACATTAATATTATTATATACTATTATTATATATTAATATTATATATTAACATTAATATTATTATATACTATTATTATATATTAATATTAAAATATCAAATTTTACTAATTTTACTATCCCAATGAATCGAGATGTACCAAATGCATTGTTTAAATTTTCATTATAGGCTCAGATAAAACAGTGAAGAAACGCGAGTTTTATTATACTCTTTTTGTTCCAAGTAATAGCAAAATTCATTCTACAGTGATCCAGTCCTAAGATTTACGGAGAAATTCAAGTCATTTGGACAACTTTTAAAAAAGTTATACCGTTCTAATTCATTGTCAGTTCTGCTCTTCATTGTAAATTGTGAAAGAAATGAGTTGTTCAAATGCAAAATAGTAAGAACATTTAAACAATTTGACGTTGTTGTCGACGAAGTCGCATTAATAACATTAGGATGTTTGTTTCGAAATTGGCGCAATTCATTTAAAAATTAATGATACTAAAATGATTTCGAATACACATTTTGTAATACTAATATATGAAATACCAGCACAGCATTAAAATTGTTGAAAACAATCTGAATTATATGATGAACTAATAAATGTTTTCTAATTCATTATAGCATAATTCTTCATGACAAAAACATATGAAAATTCATATTTATACACAATATATAACACGAATTAATTTCATTTTCTATTTNATACTATTATTATATATTAATATTATATATTAACATTAATATTATTATATACTATTATTATATATTAATATTAAAATATCAAATTTTACTAATTTTACTATCCCAATGAATCGAGATGTACCAAATGCATTGTTTAAATTTTCATTATAGGCTCAGATAAAACAGTGAAGAAACGCGAGTTTTATTATACTCTTTTTGTTCCAAGTAATAGCAAAATTCATTCTACAGTGATCCAGTCCTAAGATTTACGGAGAAATTCAAGTCATTTGGACAACTTTTAAAAAAGTTATACCGTTCTAATTCATTGTCAGTTCTGCTCTTCATTGTAAATTGTGAAAGAAATGAGTTGTTCAAATGCAAAATAGTAAGAACATTTAAACAATTTGACGTTGTTGTCGACGAAGTCGCATTAATAACATTAGGATGTTTGTTTCGAAATTGGCGCAATTCATTTAAAAATTAATGATACTAAAATGATTTCGAATACACATTTTGTAATACTAATATATGAAATACCAGCACAGCATTAAAATTGTTGAAAACAATCTGAATTATATGATGAACTAATAAATGTTTTCTAATTCATTATAGCATAATTCTTCATGACAAAAACATATGAAAATTCATATTTATACACAATATATAACACGAATTAATTTCATTTTCTATTTACCATTTTTAATTTCATTTACTTCATGCATTCATTTCCACAATATTCGATGAACGTCTCTTTATTCGATGTAAAAGGACAAGCAAATTTTCGTCTGTTTTCAAAAAATAAAACAAATATCGAAGGAACTCGTCGACGCTATGCATTCTCCCGATAAAAGAGCCGATCTTTCGACTGTTTCAAACTAGAATTAGATGAATCGTACAGCATTATTGTTACCTCGGCCGAAATGAAAGTACGCCGTTCGTGGCATCGCTTCCCCATACTTTTAGACGAGCCCGTATTTTTCGAAAACGAGACAACGACGACTTGTTTTCAGATGCATGGCTACGATCTTCATAGCGGGCCACCGCAGCTACCACCGCCAGGGATGCTCGGCGGGCCTATGAACGACGGCGGCGGCGGCGGCGGCGGCGGTCCTCTTCCACCACCCGGGCCCCATCATCCTGGCAGCGGCGGGCCCGACATGGGACAGCACCCGGACAGCACCGACAGCTACGTAACCTACCTTGAAAGTGACAGTGACTCCCTTCACCACGATACAGGAAGTCCATAGTGTTGTGCAGTGTGGCCAGAACGAAAGTGTCCGCTTTCTTCGTGGTCTTCTTTTAATAAGTGCTTGAAGAGAATAGTAGTCTGCGAGAACAAATAGGGTGGAATGCACGAATGGAGTCGAACGATGAACGTTGTCCCAGTTGGAATTCGTAGGCTTTTCTCGAGAGTAGCTTAACCCTTTCGCGCCCGTTGCCGTTTCGAACGAATAATCTCCTCGATCGCTGGCCGATTTTTCGACCGTTTCGAAATACGATAGCCGAGTCGTTTGAACGAATCGCCACGAACAGCCGCAACAACAACAAATTCCATCGTGAACAACGAACGTCCGCGAATGTTCGAACATCTCGCTGCGACGGCAGCCGTTGCGGCGAACGCGAGCGCGAAGCGTCGCGATCAAACGTCGGCGTTTCGCGAAGGATTTCGTTAGAATCAGCGCCCGCTCCGTCGAACTTGACGATTTTCCTGGGAACGAAGCCCCGGGGCGAATCACGCGCATTACATCGCGTCGTGTATCAATGTAAGAAGAAACTTCGAATTGAAATTCGAATCCTCGAATTAATATATTTATGACAGAGGCGCGTCTGTGGTCCCTTGGAACGGAACAAAGCACGCTTCGCCGTCTATTAAAATTGAAATACTTCGCGCGTCCGTGTACCAGGCAATTATTTTTGGTACGAGAATACGCACACGAGTATAAAGCAATTATTTTTCTATTTTATTTGAATTATTATGCTGCTGGCTACGATACGATTACAGGTTTCTTTTCGATGCGAGAAACGCGCCACGCTGTTCCACGACAGCGAAACGTGTATCCCGAACGTTTTTGAAGAACGCGGACACGTACAGTGACTCGCATTAATGTTCGGACACGATATTATTAGAAAAATTGTTATAAACAAATTTTATAAACGAATCAAAATTCGTTGTAAGAACTCGGTGCCACAGAAATTATCGGCGATGTCAGACGCTTTACTTGTGAAAATCGGACGAAAAGGAAGAAATAGGTCTTTTGAAATCCGACACAGTTGGTTATTTATCGCAAGGAAAAGGGAAAATCGTACAGAGATACAAGCGAATTATTAAATATAAGCAAGAGTAGTGTGGCAGATATTACACGTCGACACATTCGCGAGGATTGAATCGATTTAATCCCTCAGAAAGGTCGTCCAAAATTATTAGACTCTCGCGACCAACACACGATACTAAGAAAAATAAAGAAAAATTCTGGACAAAGTGCTTCAAAATTAACAAAGAAGTTGTTCGTAGAATCTGGGAAGAAGGTACACTCGGACACGATACGACGAGTATTAAAAACTTATGGTTACAACGGAAGAGTTCCTCGTAGAAAGCCATAAATAAATGAAGCAAATCGCAAGAAAAGATAGAGCTTTGCAGAAGAATATTTTTATATATATAAATATATATAATATTTTATATATAAAAATATTTTCGGATCAATGCAAATTTAATCTTTACAATCTTTACATCTCAAATTTTAGACCGGTGGCGGGAGTGTAATAGTGTGGGTTGTATCTCGTCTGTAGGTGTAATCGTGTTTTCATCGATGGACAAAATATATTATGGACAAAATGAAGTATTTAGACACTTTTAGAAAGAAATTTAATTACAAGTGCTATAAACATGGGCATACGTAACAGTTTTTAATTTTATCAGGACAATGATCCTAAGCACAAGACCAGAATTGTACAAGAATATTTATTATAATACAATTGTCCAAAAGTACTGCATTCTCCTCCTCGATCGCCCGATTTAAATCCGATTGAAAATCTATGGGATCAATCGGACCGCAAAATTCGTGCAACACCTACAAGGACAACAACAGAGTTAAAACAACGTTTGCTAGACCAACGGAAACGGACTTCACCGGAGTATTTAAATAAAATTTTAATATTTATATATATATATATATATAATATTATATATAATATATTATTATTATATAATATTATATAATATATTATTATATTATATTATATATATAATATTTAAATAAAAATATTAATATTATGATAATATGATTAAAAAGATTTTCATTTTATATAAAATTAATCTAATTCATTCACTGTCCGAATATTTCTGCGACGTTAAATTTTGCCACAATCTTGTTTATCGCTTATCATACGAAAGAACATGTGCAATAAATAAACAAAATTTATGTTTCTACATACTATAAGAAGCGCCTTATTGTATGAGAAAACAATTGATTACTGTTATAAACGATAAAAAAGGAGCAACAATTTTTCTAATAACATCGTGTCCGAATATTAATGCGAGTCGCTGTACTTCGAAGCGATTCGAAAATTTATTTATTGCTGCGATGGTATCGCGTTATTTATGAAACGGAAGAACGATATATTGCGAAATCACAGCCGCTCGGTGTTTAAGCATCGAAGCATCCTCGGCATTTCCATTATGAACGTATTTTAAGTGAACGATAACAGCCGACTCTGGGGTTCTCGATTCTTTCTCGAATCTCATTTCGTTTCTCGTCGATCGTCGCGCCTGCGAGATTCGTGCTCGCGCGAAAGGGTTGAGGAGAGGCAATTTCTCGGACGACAAAGGAAGGGAAAACTGCGACAAAGCGAGAGATCATTTGGTAGGAACACGAGCTTATATGAACGGAGGATCGAAGCGAAACCGGGAAGAGAGGGGAGGAGGAGAGGAAGGTTATAATTAGAAATTATTGTAAGATATACGCAGTTAACGAAATCTTACGTGTCCGAAGCGCTTCGATCATATCTCGGAACGATCTAATTGTGTCGGCGATTATGTTGAACGGGTTTTGATTTTGTCAGAACGGTTGTTCGGTGTGTTCGCTCGATGTTTCTCACGATTCAAACGTTCGAGCACGGCGACGAACAAAGACGAATTCGACCGATCGCGAAGAACAGCCTCTGTTCGGACGGAAACTCAGGTAGAACGTGTGTAAAACGTGTCGTCGAAGGGTTACGCGGGCACGGCGTCGGGCTTCTCGAGCGCGCGCGTTGCTATCGATCGTTTTATTCGCGAAACGATAGGGAACAGGCGAGAAAAACGGCATGTAAATCGTTGTGATATTTTTCGAGCGAAAAAGAAATTGTCCGCGGGTTGAATTCGCTGGGAACGCCGATTATGATTCGTCGAATCGTCGCGAGCCGTCCGTTCAAACGGATGGAAACACGGAATTCGAATCGTTCGCAAAGAAGTTTCTAGAACGAGATCCGCGAAAGATGTCGCGCGATTCGATTATTTATTAAATTAATTTTTGCTGGCGAAGCTTTCGAGCAAGAGAAAAACAAACCACGCTCGTTACGTTTGATTTTGTGGAACGTATCGATATACAGATGTTCGAGCACCTCCGCGATGGAGAAATCGCTCCAATTAATGGACGAACCCCGTTGTGGATTTGTTTGTTCGATATTTATAAATTTTCAGTGAGCCTCGAGCGGCACGGTGCAATAAACGTTAGGGGTGGTTTCCTTGGATCGACGCGCGGGAACGTGAACGACGGTTTCGTCAGCGACGAAACCGATCGGGAAACGAACATTGAAGTGTCAGGATCGAACGATTTGTAACGTGATTCGTCACGGATTGTAATCGCATCGCTGAACTTCCGTTTCGCGCCCAGATCACAGCGATCACGTTGAGAATTGACGGTTACGATGTTGTATTTCTTTCTTTTTTGCGCTTCTGGCTCGTCTTTGTTTGTTCTCCAGTTTATTTTTTTAGCTCGTATAAATGACCAAAGAGCGTTTTTATCGCTGGGAAAGAGAGAGAGAGAGAGAGAGAGAGAGAGAATGAAAAAAATAAAATGGGAGAACGAAGCAGTATCGTCGACAGAGTTGGGCAAACTTGTTGTATAAAAATTAATAAGGAAATCAAAGTGGAAGTAATGTGTGTTTGTTCGTGATGAATAAAATATTTATTTGAAAAACGTTTCGTTTGTAGAGGAAGGAGTACCTTTCTGTTCACGATCGAAAATCATTTGAAATGTCGGATGTTCTTTTCGTCGTTTTGACAGTCCCGTGATTTCATCTTCCTGTGACTTCATCCGAATTCTCGTTGAAATGTTCGTTCAAGCGCACCTTCGTTTCGTCATTTTTACAGCAAAAACTTTTCGGTACTTTATATCGAAGACATTCTACCAGCCTACATGAATGTTATAAATCTGTTACTTTGAGATTTAATTTGTTATCGCTGGACTGCGGATCTTCGTGCAAAATACAAAAAGAAAAGAAATCGAGCACAAGTTTCCTTCCGTCTTTAATCGTTTTAATAAGTTCAAACCGATGCATCGACGTTCACAGTCGATGAATTCATACTCATTCTTTGCCACGAACGCATAAAATCGGCAGTCCGGTTATCACGTTGTACTAGCAGTTTAAATTCCTCGAGAAATGTAAAATTATCCAATGCGATGGAGAAATTGCTAAAAATTGGGCGGCCGTGAGAATTCCATTTCTTGAAAGGTAGAAATAACAACGTCACTGTGCTGAAAAGAGACGCGTTAATTATGTCGACTGTATAAAGGGATCATGTATCATATTTATTGCAGGTACGTATGAATTTCTTGCGTTAGGAGATTTCAAATGAATCGTGTGTACAGTGATATTAGAATAATTCCTTTTTTAAATTGTATTAGAAGCTTCTGACTTCGTTCGTATAGGTTTTCCAATGTGGCTGAACAATTCACGCCGTTACGCATAAAATGACGCATAAAAATCGCTGTACAATTTTCTTCTCGTTTATAAGAATGGCGATATGCAGGAACCATACGCGGCACCGAAAAGGAACAGAAAAGGACCGCGCTCGTCACAAATTGACAGCGAGACCGATTTGCTCCTGCGATTTTAACCCCTTAACCTACAACTACGGGCATAGCCCGTAGTACGACGATCGAGCCAAATATATAAATATTAGCGGCGGCGCCCTTTTAAAATTATAAATATTTGTGGAATATTTGATAAGTAATTACAACCCGATGCAATAATTGTTGTGGATGCGAGTTTGATAATTAATTATAATATAATATTATATAATATATGATACATATATATTATATTATATATAATATTATATGATATTATATAATATTATATTATTAAATATTATATATATATTTATAATTATTAATATAATATTCTATAATATTATATTAATAATTATAAATATATATATAATATTTAATAATATAATATTATATAATATCATATAATATTATATATAATATAATATATATGTATCATATATTATATAATATTATATTATAATTAATTATCAAACTCGCATCCACAACAATTATTGCATCGGGTTGTAATTACTTATCAAATATTCCACAAATATTTATAATTTTAAAAGGGCGCCGCCGCTAATATTTATATATTTGGCTCGATCGTCGTACTACGGGCTATGCCCGTAGTTGTAGGTTAAGGGGTTAAAATCGCAGGAGCAAATCGGTCTCGCTGTCAATTTGTGACGAGCGCGGTCCTTTTCTGTTCCTTTTCGGTGCCGCGTATGGTTCCTGCATATCGCCATTCTTATAAACGAGAAGAAAATTGTACAGCGATTTTTATGCGTCATTTTATGCGTAACGGCGTGAATTGTTCAGCCACATTGGAAAACCTATACGAACGAAGTCAGAAGCTTCTAATACAATTTAAAAAAGGAATTATTCTAATATCACTGTACACACGATTCATTTGAAATCTCCTAACGCAAGAAATTCATACGTACCTGCAATAAATATGATACATGATCCCTTTATACAGTCGACATAATTAACGCGTCTCTTTTCAGCACAGTGACGTTGTTATTTCTACCTTTCAAGAAATGGAATTCTCACGGCCGCCCAATTTTTAGCAATTTCTCCATCGCATTGGATAATTTTACATTTCTCGAGGAATTTAAACTGCTAGTACAACGTGATAACCGGACTGCCGATTTTATGCGTTCGTGGCAAAGAATGAGTATGAATTCATCGACTGTGAACGTCGATGCATCGGTTTGAACTTATTAAAACGATTAAAGACGGAAGGAAACTTGTGCTCGATTTCTTTTCTTTTTGTATTTTGCACGAAGATCCGCAGTCCAGCGATAACAAATTAAATCTCAAAGTAACAGATTTATAACATTCATGTAGGCTGGTAGAATGTCTTC